TGTAATTGGTCAATTTCTGAAATCTTAAGTCTTAAAGTCCTATTGTAGACGACGCATTAGATGGTACTATTGGTTTGACTTTCAAGAGCTAAAAATAAAAAATTTTTTAAAATTTAAAAATTTCATTTAAAAATTTAAATTTTTAAATTAAAATAAATTTTTTAATGGCACTTATTTTTAGCTCTTGAATGGTATCATCTTATAGCCTCCTTAAAACCAGACAACTTTTGTCTGAAATATTTTTCGCTTTCGGTTTTCGAGATATTCGACTGACAAGAATCATAAATATTGTATTGAAATTTAAAATATCTCAGGAAATTCTACGTTAAAAAAAGTTCAAATACAGGGTGTCCGTCGATTTTCGACCTTAATGAAATAAATAAGTAGATTGGCTCGAATTAAAAAGGAATGACCTGTATTGTTTTGGGATTGTCGCAATAATTAACGAAATATTAAATAAAAAAGATCGGCCAATCTGCGTGAGTAAAAGCGCGCGGCGACGAGAGTCGTCCCACTAATCCGATACTACGAGCGCGGCGAAGCGGTGGGCGGGTCGCTCTCCGAGACATGATGGTGGTTTGCGATATATCGCAATACCGCGCCGAAAAATGACCCGTCCCCCCTTTTCGTGGCGAGAAAATGATGCGCTATCATTTCCACACCACCTTGCGGTAGATAGCATGGTGCGCTTTTTTTTATAGTGGTTTCCCCCATAGGCCTATTCCACTCTCAATTTAAAAATTATTCAAAATGCCATTTACTATACGCTGAATATATCCTAAATGTAAAAAATTAATGGACAGTACCTTTACCAAAAATTGATTCGTGGTTGAAAATCCCTCGATAAAATGTATTGCACACGTTGATAATGTGATACGATGATAAAATTCTTCAAGAATCCTTTCTTCATCTCATACACGAAGACGCACTGCTGGACCGGTTATACCGATATTATGCACGACACTCAGTTTCACATAATTATTGCACAACATGTAAAATTGTACGGCCACTTGGTTTTCGTGCACGCCCGAGAAATGATTCCATGTAAATTGCGGCCGCACGATAAGTATTTTCTCCCGCTAGTCCGTATGCCACAATCATATCCGTATATCCTGCAGAGTCACACTTCATTTTCTCTGTTAATTTACTACGCAAACACAAGATTTTTATTAAAACGGGCTGATGAAAATCCTCACTGGATGAGAGATTGCCGCACGCAGTATCCTGAGAAAGTAAATGTTTGGGCCGGAATATTGTGTAATCGTATCATAAGACCATTTTTTATTGATGGTAATATAACAGCGAAAAGTTATTTAGATTTGTTGAGAAACCGAATAATACCGGGTATCCAAAATATTGCTGGAGATGCTTTTGAAAATGTTTGGTATCAACATGATGGGGCTCCAGCTCATTTCGCATTGCGTGTACGCAATTTTCTAAACGAAACTTTTATTGGTCGATGGATTGGTAGAAGAGGCACGATAGAATGGCCACCCAGATCTCCTGATCTAAACCCGTTAGACTTTTTCTACTGGGGATATTTGAAAAGTAGAGTTTATGAAACGAAACCTACCAACGTGAACGATTTAAGGGAAAGAATATTAAACATTTCAAATTTAATAACACCGGAAACTTTAAGAAACGTCACAGATACATTTTACTTTCGCTTAGGATACTGCCAAGAAGCAGGAGGACATCAATTTGAACACTTAAAAAATTAATGAACATTTATTTAGAAACACATGAGAGAGCACGCGCGCGCGCGTACGCACGCACGCACGCACGCACGCACACGCACACACACGTACACGCACACACACGCACATATCACAAAACAAAAAAGATATAAATCCGACCGTGCAACCTCCGCGTGGTATATCTTGGGTAATGCTAATGCCGGCGATACTGTAACTTTCAAGCTTCATAATTCATCATGTGCTTAACGAAAAAATACTTCATTATAAGGTTTTGGAAAGCTCTTGACAGCTATTAGATTCTGGAATTAAAAATGGTATGTTTAATTTAAAAAAATTGACGTGACCTTGACCTGACCTTGGCAACGCCACTCAAGGTCAATAAGATCAGTAAATAGATTTTCTTGAATCCTACAACTTTTGTTCGAAACATTTTTTTAATAAATCAATATTTCCTGAGATAATTGACCGTTCCGGAACTTTTGTCCAACCCTGTATATATATATATATATACAGAGCAGGCGATTAATTACATGCGCACTATCTGCAACGCTAGGGTCGTCTGTATTATTTTTTCAGGGATAAATGTGTTGTTAATGTTACACACATTGTCTATTCTCAGACAGCCTAGCACTACTTTATTTGAATGAAAATTTGCGAAGAAGCATGTGATTACATAGAACCGTGCTTTTTCCACTTTCCCTAGGATTAACGTATTTTTGTCAATATTTGAAGTTTTACTAGAATCCTCGATGGTTGAGTGGTTAACATGCTGGTTGCACAGGCCCCATGGATGTAGGGATATTGGGTTCGAATCCCGCCGGGGTCGAAGATTTTTTTCTTGGTTTTTCTCGGCGAGGAGAAACACCCACGATGCTTGGGGCTATGCTTGAGTCAATCGATGCTCTTAGTGATCGCACGAAAGATTTCGTATGCCTTGTGTCGAACGCAAAGAAACAGTCATGAGAGTGACGATCTCGCACTGGAAACCCGATTTAATGATGTATATGTTGCGGAAACATCCTGTATATGTGGGTGATCTCGGGAGATAAATAATTGACGCTTCGCGTTAAATGAATAACTCCGAATTTATTTTATCTACAATTTAAACGGTCCGTTTATTGTATAAATTTAATGTAATTTAAATCAAGTCGCGATGTGTACTCTATATAGGCGCGAGATAAACTCTCTGAAGACGCGATATTTACTTCACGAAAGCGGGATACAGAATGTCTTTTGGAAAACCAAAATTTAGCATACGTGATCCGGGAGAAAGTTTTATGACAGGAAAATTCTAAGGGACGAGTAACCGTAAAGAAAAACCATGTGCTTGTCATTTGTTGATTGATAATCTAATATTTAATCGAATATTTTAAATATTCGAGTTCTTTACAATTTAAATATCTTTTTAGAATCTTAGATATCTCTTTATCTTAGATATCTTAGATATCTCTCTTTAGATATTTCTTTAAAATTGACCTTTGGCAGACGGGGCGTAGGGAACGGCATCGCGTTACAGATGCGCCGCTCCTGTAGTAAAGTGTCTCGAGACGTAAAGGGAGGGACGATAGGCGTTGACTCAAATCGGAAATCGGCCGAAAAGTGCAAAACGTGAACAGCTCTGCCTTAGATTATCAATCAACATATTGCAAGCACATGGTTTTTCCTTACGGTTACTCGTCCCTTAGAATTTTCCTGTCATAAAACTTTCTCCCGGATCACGTATGCTGAATCTTGGTTTTCCAAAAGACATTCTGTATCCCGCTTTCGTGAAGTAAATATCGCGTCTTCAGAGAGTTTATTTCGCGCCTATACAGGGTATCCGTCGATTTTCAACCTTGAAGAAATAAGGAAGTAGATTGGCTCGAATTAAAAACGAAGGACCTCTATTGTTTTGTGATTGTCGCAATAATTAACGAAAAATTAAATAAAGAAGATCGGCCAATCTGCGTGAGTAGAAGCGCGCGGCGATGAGAGTCGTCCCACTATAATTTGATACTACGAGTACGGCGAAGCGATGGGCGGATCGCTCTTCGAGATATGATGGTGATTTGCGGTATATCGCAATACCGCGCCGAAAAATGACCCGTCCTTTTAGTGGCGAGAAAATGATGCGCTATCATTTCCACACCACCTTGCGGTAAATAGCATGATGCGCTTTCTTTATAGTGGTTTCCCATAGGCCTATTCCACTCTCAATTTGAAAATTATTCAAAATGCCATTACTATACCCTGAATGTATCTTAAATATAAAAAATTGATGGTGACAGTACCTTTACAAAAATTGATCCGTGGTTGAAAATTCCTCGATAAAATGTATTGCACACATTGATAATGATACGTTAATAAAATATTATGCACGACACTCAGTTTCACATAATTATTGCACAACACGTAAAATTGTACGGCCACTTGGTTTTCGTGCACACCCGGGAAATGATTCCATGTAAATTGCGGCGGCACAATAAGTATTTTTTCCCGCTAGTCCGTATGCCACAATCATATCCGTATATTCCTGTAGAGTATACTTCATTTTCACCAGCAGTGCGCCTTCGTGTACGAGATGAAGAAAGAATTCTTGAAGCATTTTATCAACGTATCATTATCAACGTGTGCAATACATTTTATCGAGGGATTTTCAACCACGGATCAATTTTTGTAAAGGTATTGTCACCATCAATTTTTTACATTTAGTTTAAGATATATTCAGCGTATAGTAATGGCATTTTGAATAATTTTCAAATTTAGAGTGGAATAGGCCTATGAGGGAAACCACTATAAAAAAGCGCACCATGCTATTTACCGCAAGGTGGAAATGATAGCACATCATTTTCTCGCCACTAAAAAGACGAGTGATTTTTCAGCACGATATTGCGATATATCGCAAACCTAGAGACCCTATAAAGAGAGACTCGCCAACTCATTTTGGACTCTGATTGGCTGGAGTTTTCATCGTCCAGGAAGTGCACATGGTGCCGTCCATGTTACATCATTTGTGCACCGTTTGCACTATATAAAGTCATACCAAGACATATAGTATAACCAAGTATAATCTGTTTACGAGTGTTCATGTATGTACATTGATATGTATAATTATAATTTCATATTGATATTTATATTGTGAATATTCATATTGTGGTAAGTTAATTATCACATCTAAGTAAGATTATAAAAAAATTTTGAATTATTAAAATGTAAAGACGCTCTATAATTAAATAAATAATAGGTAAGTTAGAAAGATACTTTTTTTCATCAATAATATTCTTATCATAGATTTGAATTTTACAATTTGCAATGCCGTATACTTGCTGCGTACCGAGGTGCTTTAATAAACCTGATGAAGGATATGCGTTGGTGCGGTTTCCAAAAGAAGAGCAGCATCAAAAAACATGATTAAATGCTGTTTTTGGCAAGAACGCGTTAAAACGTTCTTTGGAAAATTTTAGATTGTGTGAAGTAAGCATACATAATAAGAATGTTATACAGGATTATTCAAATAAAAGTAGTTTTAAAAATGTTTATTTTCAGGTACACTTTGACCAATCTGATTTATTGATAGTGGGTCGCCGAAAAGAAATAAAAAAGGTGCAATACCATCACGGTTTTGTCAATGTCCCTCTGTGGATTTTTGTGACAAATCGCAAACTAGTAAGCGAAAGAAAAAAGGAACTCATGTGCGCAATGTTAAAAAAAAATTGGATTCACAGAATTTAAATCAACAATATATAGAACATTCTTATAGCAAATTGCAATCTAAGACACAGAAGAGAGAAAAAATTCTTGTGCATAATGTTAAAACAAGACTTGATAATCACATTTGTCAAGCAGGTAATACGTCCGAGTATCCCTCTATAAGAAATGTAGCTTGTTCAATAATCAATCATACAATAGAAAATACTGCACAGTTATCCAAGAAGTAAGTGCGTATGATAAATCATTACTATAATTGTCCATTTACTACACTTCCGTTATCAATTAATGAAATTAAAAAAAGATGTTCTATAGAGAAAAATGACATGTCAAATTCTGAAAACATCTATTTGTCTTCAGATGTTTCTTTTATTAAAAGAGCTGTGCGAAAACTTAAAAAAGAAAATGAAATGTTAAGGAATGTTAGAAATGTTATGGAACTAATTCTGCAGAATAAGTTTAAATTTTATTGAATTTAAATCATATTTTTTATAATATTGGGTTGGCAACTAAGTGATTGCGGATTTTAAATAAGAAGGAAAATTCAAAATTTTTGCAAATTTTTTTGAATGCATGTATGCGATACATTGAGCTTCTCTGCAATCTCACGTGTTGTGCTATGACGATCTGAATCGATAATGGCCTTGATATGGGTCTCATCAACTAGACGGCCAGATCGTTGCGCATTTTTCAATGAAAAATTACCAGAACGAAATTTGGCAAACCAATTTTGACACTGCCTTTCTTTCAAGGCTTCATTCCCATATACGGCACATAACTTCTTGTGTGCTTGCGATGCGTTCTTGCCTTTTCGGAAATAATACAATAAAATATGTCTGAAATGCGTCTTGTTCTTCCATTTTTAAATTGGGATAAAAACAAAACTAAATAACTAATCGATACAATTTTTTTACTAAATTAAAGGCGGAAGTCCAAACAACAAGAAAACAATATAGGTTAGGTGCTTTGAACACGTTGACAAAGCAAAAAAATGTGCTAAGACCATCTATGACAAAATCCGCAATCACTTAGTTGCCAACCCAATAGTTGTAAAATATTTTTATATAATAAAATGTGAAATTTTTGTAAGCTATTATTAATCGTTTAATGTGTGTTAAGATACTATATCAATAAAGGATAATAAAAATAAACTTTATCAGAATATATTTATATATTTATATTTATTTTATTACTATATCACATACTATATTATCATATAAATACTATATTATATATGTAACATACCCTACTATTATAAATATATTTTTGCTTCAAAATTTGATTATTATAAGAATGTTCTACAATATTTGGCGAAATTTGTTTTAAAGGAACACGATTTTTTGTGAGTATAGAAGAAATAAAGCTGTAAGAATGCTCTATACATTGTTGATTCTCTGAATCTAATTTTTTTTAACATTGCACATGAATTCCTTTTTTCTTTCGCTTACTAATTTGCGATGTCACAAAAATCCACAGAGGAACATTGACAAAACCGTGATAGTATTGCACCTTTTTTTATTTCTTTCCGGCGACCCACTACCAATAAATCAGATTGGTCAAAGTGTACCTGAAAATAAACATTTTTAAAACTACTTTTATTTGAATAATCCTATATATCATTCTTATTATGTATGCTTACTTCACACAATCTAAAATTTTCCAAAGAACGTTTTAACGCGTTCTTGCCAAAAACAACATTTAACCATGTTTTTTGATGCTACTCTTCTTTTGGAAACCGCACCAACGCATATCCTTCATCAGGTTTATTAAAGCATCTCGGTGCGCAGCAAGTATACGGCATTGCAAATTGTAAAATTCAAATCTATGATAAGAATATTATTGATGAAAAAAGTATCTCTCTAACTTACCTATTATTTATTTAATTATAGAGCGTCTTTACATTTTATTAATTCAAAATTTTTTTATAATCTTACTTAGATGTGATAATTAACTTACCACAATATGAATGTTCACAATATAAATATCAATATGAAATTATAATTATACATATCAATGTACAATACATACATGAACACTCGTAAACAGATTATACTTGGTTATACTATATGTCTTGGTATGACTTTATAGTGCAAACGGTGCACAAATGGTATAACATGGACGGCACCATGTGCACTTCCTGGACGATGAAAACTCCAGCCAATCAGAGTCCAGAATGAGTTGGCGAGTCTCTCTTTATAGGGTCTCTACGCAAACCACCATCATGTCTCGGAGAGCCCACCGCTTCGCCGCGCTCGTAGTATCAGATTACAGTGGGACTTTTGTCGCCACGCGCTTTTACTCACGCAGATTGATCGATCTTCTTTATTTAATTTTTCGTTAATTATTGCGATAATCACAAAACAATAGAGGTCATTCCTTCTTAATTTGAGCCAATCTACTTTCTTATTTTGTGAAGGTCAAAAATTGACGGACACCCTTTATATTATGATTATCTATATGTTATTAAAATTATATTATATACAAATATATAATATATATTATTAAATATATATTTTATCTATATTATTAAATTTTGCAATTATTTATTATAATAAAATGATAAGATTTCCGTTTCCTTACTCCCCGTTGAACTCGCATTTTAATCTTATTCAGTGAGTCTAATAAAGTATGCCCCTGACGATGGGCATCCCGACTTAATGATGTGTATGTTGCGGAAACACCCTGTACATAATCTATACACAAGATATAAAAATAGATTTCTTGTGCAAATATTTGAATAGATATCTTGTGTGTGTGTGTGTGTGTTTATTGTTACACAGAAAATAAATTTGTTAGGAATTTCAGAAAAATGCTGAATCAAGAATTTATTTTCGTGGAATTCTCTGACGGTATTCAAATAATACCGAAAATGTGTGTGGCTACAGAGTAAGGATTTATGCAAATATCCTTTCAGCTACCCAGTCAGCAAAATCTGTTCAAACAGATTTTGATAATTTCTGCTACAAATTTTTGTCGACAGTATGATTGCAGATTGTATAAAAAATTTGTTATATCAAATAATGATAACAGAATGTCAGCAGAAATGTTACAAAACCTGCTGACATAATTTATGATCAGAAACTGAACAGGATTTGTTTAAAATTATCATAGCAGATTAGTGGCAGAAATCGAACAGGATCTGCGCACACAATCTCTGATAAGAGATTGATGACAGAAACGGAACAGGGTTTGCATGATTCGATAGTTCCTTCACTTACCGCTACGTGAGCTGTACTTTCTCGTAATTGAATTTCTATCAGAAGTATATATAAAGTCGCGAATATAAATAAAAGACTAAAAATATAATAATTATCATTTTAATTTTTATCACTTTAATTTCTGATATCTGATACAAGCAAATGAGAGTCAGAATATTAAACTGATTGGAATCAATATGATAAATAGAAAATTATTCATGTACTGCCTATTTGAGGCATAAAGCAAGAATTTAATTCTAAATAAATTACATCTCAAGTTCTACAAGTTACATTTACTTTTATCATTTATTTTATTATTAATTTAATTAAATTGAATTGAAATTAGTCCTTCGCTATATGAGATATAACTACGATATAACATATTACATATATGTTATTTTCTAAGAAAATTCTAATTAACTTGCCGATAATATTGTTATTTAGCACCTGTAATAATCAATTTTGTTGCATTTATATAACATTAATAAAAGCGCAAGTCTTGTGAAGTTTCTGCTGTCAATTTGCCATCAGGTTGCATGCGCAGATTCTGCTCGGTTTCTGCTGACAATCTAACATCAAATTGCACGCGCAGATCTTGCTCAATTTCTGCTGTCAATCTGCTGTCGGTTTATGCTGACAGATTCTGCTAGCAGAACCCAAGCTTAATGCGGACGCAGTTGATGCCAATCTGCCGCAATATTCTGTTTGAATCTGCTTGTATGCTGCTGGCAGACTGCTAACATTTTGCTTACTGGATCACATTATAAGACAAATTATAAAATTCAGAAGACGATTGAAAAAGAAGAAACGCCAACTTCTGATTGGTTTTTTTTTAAATTTGAATGGATTTTTTACGAGTATCGTAAGTATAAATAAAAATTTTAATTTTTTTCTTCTTTTTCGTAATAATATTTGCTACTGCTATTTAAAATATTTTCAGCATCCTTACAAAAGACCGATGAAAAAGCAAGAAAGGCAATCTATCAGACTTGGATACCGACAAGGAAGCGGAGTTCTTATAGAAAAATTAGAGCGAAAAAAGTTGTATCTTCGTTTGAAAGCGAATCATGCACAGACGTAAATTTACCCTCTCCTTCCTCTCCTCCAAAACGTAAGTACACAAACAGATCTATTATATCTATTTATGATACATATACGAAATTTATATTTTACACTTTGTACATTCATGTTTTATTTTGTATTAAAAGGTCAGTAATTGTACGATGAAAGTACAAATGAAAGTTCATCCCTTACATGTTCTCGGAAATCTGCGAAAAGAAACAGCGAATCAAACAAAAGCAATAGGTCTCAAATTCGAACTTCAATCATTCTCGCAAGGTATATTCGTTAGATCTCTTTGTAGTAATATAATTATTGTATAATTATATGTGTATGGTAATTATTGCAGAATTATATATGTATGAATTATATATGTTGATTTGTATATTTCATATTCATAATTATTTATAATTATTTATTGTAAACATAAATTTAAAAAATTGTACATAATTTTTATATATTAATATTAATAGCTAAAAATTATCTAATATTGACATCAATATCTAAAAATTTATCTAAAAATTTATCTAAAAATGGCACGCAAAAATTTTCAGCGTATAATTTCTCGTTTCTGACGTCATAATCCAACATGATCGCGGCGAGGACCAAAAAGCCTAAAGCATTAAATTAATTTGTAATTTTATTTTCAATAAACAAAGTTTTTTTACAATTTTTAATATTATTTTTATTTGCAATTATATATTTCAGCCATCCATATTCTGTGAATATGGATCACTATTAATGATCTACGGAACTTCTATTAATCGTCTACCAAGGCTCCGTAAGCCCTGTATTAATAATTCACGGAGCGTCGATTAATCGTCCACCGAGGCTTCGCAAATCCTTTATTAATAATTCATGCAACGTCTAATGGACATCTTTGAAGACTTCTAATGGAGATCTAATGGATGTACACAATGCAGAACTACGGATTTCTTGTGGTTGTCCATGTCTAATTGACGTCTACTGGAGATTTTACATTTCTATGATCCCAGAGAGAAATTACAAGTCGAATATTCATCTATTAAACGTCTTAGACGTCTATTCGACTTGTCATTTCTCTCTGGGATAGACGTCTAATGGATGTCCATTAGAGGTTTTCGTTCTATGTGAGAACAGGTTTTGCATACAATCTGCAATTTCTTTCTATTGGTAATAATTTGTAGCAAGCAGTTAACAAAATCTGTTAGAACAGACTTGACTGATTAGGTTATATGTAATATTTAAATTGTGGTAATTATTAATTGTGCGGTATTTAATTTTATTATAATATATTTTTTATTACAGGAAAAAGTTCTCTTTATTTATTTTTTATTTATTCTTTATTTATTTTTTATTTAAGTGTTTTCTTTATTTATTTAACAATTTTCTATCGAAAAATTTCTTAATCTGCTAATATTATTGCTTGATAAAGTAGGTATTATTATCTCTACTTATCTCAGTAGTTTTAATCAAACAAAATATAATTTTATCATCTGTAATTCTCATAAAAATAGAATTAAAACAAATTTGATTTAAAATAGAAACATATCTTCATTAAAAAAATTAAATTAATTTTATAAAAATTAATTACAATAATATTTTTCGTTGTTACAATAATGATCACTCACATTTTTCTATCTTTACATTCTTTTCTTTTTATTTCTCTTACATTCTTCCTCTTTATTAAAAAGATTCCAAATAGCACAAAAAATCAAAAGATATCTTTAAATCTTAAGTTTTTTAGATATATTTTAGAAATATGTTGTCTCGAATATAAAAATAGATTGCAGTTCCAAATTTTTGGAACAATAAAAATAGAAAATCATAATGTGTGTTTTCTATTGAAATTTACAGAAATTAAATCTATGCTAATCATTCTAATAAAAATTTTACATGGAGTACCACAATGAAATTTAACATGTCCTAATTAGAAAACATCTACTATGGTTACTTATCTTTCCTTTGTATTACATATTTTCAATTACAATCAGATAAAAAGGCATTCTTAAAGCAGTACATTCCAAAACATTTTTAAGACATTTAAAAAAACAATTTAAAGACATCTTATCGTTCTTAAAACATCTTTAAAATGTCTTTTGGCTTTTATGTACTGTCTAAAATTTATAATCTTTTATATGTGGGTAAAAATGGCACATAAGATGTCCATTTCCATCTGAAAGATATAGTTATTATTATCATCTACATACAAATAATATAATAATTATTATTATCATTTTACGTACAAACGAAAATAAAACGAAAATTATGCGATTACCTTGTCAACAAATTCATTCCAAACGGAAAATCAAAAGTGTTCCAGACATATTCAACATTAGACATTTCGTTAGTTTTTTTATCAATCGTGGGATCTATCAATTCCATTTCCTTTGCCCAATCCTCCAATCCACGTTCTTTTGCGTTACCTTGATGTCAAACAAATAAATAAATTGGTAATTATTTACATTGACGGACAAGGTCTCGCCAATGATCTTGATCTTTATATATTTATATATTTATATATATATTTATATTGTAAAGATGAAGTTGCTGGTTAATTTTTCTTGTTGTTTTATTTGGTGATCTCTTATAGTTTTCGAGATATTTAATGAAAAAAAATGATTAAAACGTTATTTTTAACACCATATATATTTAAAATTTATAAAATAACTTTATGTCGCTAGTCAGATAATCCAAGGATCGTTGAAAAAAATGTAGTCGACCAAACTAGCCAGAAATTTGTTTATTAATACGACGTTTCGACCATATGGTTGTGGTCCTTATCAAGTATATACTGGAAAGATTTATAAATAAATTTAACAATTAATTTACGGTTTGAATAATATAACATTGTCTTGTTATATTATTCAACCGTAAATTAATTGTTAAATTTATTTATAAATCTTTCAGTATATATAAAAAAAAAAAAAAAATAATTTACGGTTTGAATAATATAACAAGCACAAATGTTATATTATTCAAACCGTAAATTAATTGTTAAATTTATTTATAAATCTTTCCAGTATATACTTGATAAGGACCACAACCATATGGTCGAAACGTCGTATTAATAAACAAATTTCTGGCTAGTTTCGACTACATTTTTTTCAACGACCATATATATTTATTATATAAAGTACATATATCAGGTATTTGTTTACAATGTATTCGGGGTGTTTCTATTATTTAGTAAAATCATTTAATTGCAATATATACGTCACTCACGTAATTAATAAGTTCTGTGTGTGTGTGTGTGTGTGAGTGTGAGTGTGTGTGTGAGTGTGTGAGTGTGTGTATGAGTGTGTGAGTGTGTGAGTGTGTGTGTGTGCGTGCGCGCGTGCGCGCGCGCGCGCGCGCGCGCGTAATATTAAAGTAAAACGATGCAATTGGGTAAAATTCAATCTACATCTGTCCGTAATCCGCGTTGAAAGTAAACTATGTTTTGCAAAGTATATGTGTGCGTATACCATGAGTATCGGCCTTTTCCCTTCCCTCAGATAGAGCCCCGAAGGGGCTCTACTTCCAAAAAATATAACTTAACCTAAACCTATTTTTTTTTATTCAACTAAAATTTGATTTCGGTCATATCATATAATCCAAATTGCAACGTGTTTTAGTATTGCATCGTACTTTCGTAGTGCACAAAACAGAAATTTTTTTGGGGGTAAAGATGCAAGAGCGAAGCTTCTTTTAATACACGAAGAACTCATGTAGTTTGTGTATTAAATGTATGTAGTATTAAAAAATTACGTTTTCATCATACATACACACACACATTAAACCTTTGTTGTTAAATATCTCAAAAACTATAAGAGATCGCCAAATAAAACAAACAAAATAATTAATCAACAATCTCCTACAACATATGTAAAAATCAAGGTCATCGGCAAGTCCGTTAATGATACTAGGACTGTGAATTAATTTTAAGGGATTTTTTTGTAAATTCAAGGCTTTATTGTGAAAAATTGTGTACATTATTGTTTTTCAAAGTACTGTCCATTGCTAGTCACTATTTTTTCCCATCTTTCTGGATATCTCAGCATACAGATTCCTCATCGAAAGAACAACTCATCTTTTGATGCTATCCACCAATCAATCCAATTTTTCGTATCTTCGTAAGATTGGAAGCGCTGCTTAGCCAGGCCGTGTTCCATGAATCGGAACAAGTAGTAATCCAATGGAGCAATATCTGGTGAATATGGCGAGTGGGGTAAAACATCCCATTTCAGCGTTTCTAAGTATTTTTTGACTACACGAGCAACATGTGATCGAGCGTTGTCATGCTGAAAAATTACTTTATCGTGCCTTTGCTCGAATTGCAGCCGTTTTTCCTTCAATGCACGGCTCAAAGGCATCAATTGTGTTCGGTAGCGTTCACCAGTGATGGTTTCATTCGGTTGAAGCAGCTCATAGTACACAATACCAAGCTGGTCCCACCAAATACAGAGCATGAGCTCGAACCATAAATATTCAGCCTTGCCATCGATGTTGATGCATCACCAGGCAAACCTCACGATTTTCTACGCTTAGGATTATCGTAGCGTATCCATTTTTCATCGCCAGTGATGATACGATGCAAAAACCCTTTCTTTTTTGCCATTGAAGCAATTGTTCGCACGTGAAAAATCGCCGTTCAACATCTCTCGGCTTCAATTCGTATGGCATCCAATTTCCTTGCTTTTGAATCATACCGAATGCATTTAAACGTTTGGAAATTGTTGTGCGATCAACATTCAACGATTCAGCAAGTTCATCTTGCGTTTGACATGAATCTTGGTCGAGTAATGCTTCCAATTCCTCATCTTCGAACTTTTTCGGTTGACCAGGACGTTCTTTGTCAACTGTATCGAAATCACTACTTCTAAAACGTCGAAACCAATACTCACACGTTTTTATCGATGGAGTATGTTCACCGTAAGTTTCCAACAGTACTCGATGACTTTCAGCAGCACTTTTCTTTGAATTAAACAGGAAAAGTAAAACTTCCCGCAAATGGTGTTTTGTTGGCTTGTAATTCGACATCTTCGGAGCTGAGAAAAAATATGTTGTTTACACTTCAGCAAAATGACACGTAATAAAAAGTAAAGCCTAATGACAGAGCTTTGACATGAATATAGTTACAGAAGTGTCCGATGCGATATAGCATAAGTTACGCCATCTATTGTAAATCCCTCAAAATTAATTCACAGTCCTAGTATAAATAAATAATTCCCAAATTATACAGTTATTATTATTTATTAATTTAAAATTGATTGAAAACATACCTGGGATGATATTATCCAAAAAGCACCCTAATGCACCACCGACTAGAATAGTAGTGCTAAGTAATACAGTGAGTACACCATCTACTGTAGCGCTTCCTGTTTGTATTATGTCTGGATATTTGATCAACCATTTTGATAGAACCTAAAAATAGTCAGTCGGATCGAGATCACTTATCATATCATTTATTATTTTATGTTTATATGTGGTATGTACATTCACAAGGTGTGTACCCAGATATACTAAACATAATTAATCATATTGACTTATAAACTAATGAACTACTGAATATTGTTATGCTCGTTTCTATTTCGTTTCATCTTCGCCTTAATCTTCAGTTTAGCGAAACTTTTGTTAAAATTAAACTTAAAATTTAATGCTGATTATTTTCTACCAACATTATAATATAAACATTTAGCTAAAACTTATAAGTACATTATATGTTACAATTCTAGAATCTCTTACTACAACTCGCATATTGATTGATCAATGTTAGCTATAACGATATTGTATCTTGTCACATAACCTTTAAATTTTTGAATATTTTTGAATTTGTTGACATTCTTGAGCTTTGAATGAGATCGGACATGTTAAGACAAAAGCATTTACAAAAGAAGAAAAACAGAAAGAGTTAGAAAGTGATTTGAGATAAAGTGTAATTACAGTTATAATAAAATATCAATTGTAAGACGAGAGAAAATATATAATAAAATTAAAATATAATTAATACGTTGTTTAAGTGCTTTTTTTCTTCTATTTAATTTTTCGATTATATCTTCGTCATCCGAAGATGACAATGTGAAATTATATAGATATTTGAAATTATAGGAATGCTAGTTATATATCTTAACCGTAGTTCGACTACTTCTAAACAGCCAAAATTGACTGTTCAATATAAACTTAGCTTATGTACGTTTAAACCTGAGCAAATGGTAGAAACAAAAATGGTAGAAACCAATATTCAAGAACTAGAAGTTATCTTCTTAAATCGTTAGTAGAAACGGGCATAAGTAGCACATGTTCGTTTCGCATATGTTTCGCAAATATTTCTTCGAGAAACGTTTTAGAACCGTTTCATAATTGTTTCATACTTCTTGGAAATGTTTTTGATTGGTTAAAATGTTCACTCGAAAAACTTTCTAAAAGAGATATATTTTTAGAAAACACTTAAAAACGGTCAAAATACGTTTAAAAATGGTCAGAATATATTTTCTATTTTAAAAACGTTTCTACATAAATATTTCTTATTAATACTTTACGGTTAAAAAATATTGCATACATTTAAGAAATGTATATAAAAAGAATGTGTGCTACCTGAGGCGTTTCTTACATAGTAGTCAATAATATTTTATAAAACTAGTAGAGCCAGTAATAACTAATATCAAACAATTCGTGCATTATGACTGTTAAGGTTTATTTACAATATGCTTTTTACCCCCTGTTTCTTAAATTTTGTCTATTATTTGTTTACACATCAACAATTGTGTGAACATTTTTTGTCACGTATTGCTTGTTTCTTGTGGAGTTCGTCAATTTTTATCTTGAACGACACAAAAAGAAACAAAAAAACGAGAAAACAAAAAATGTAAAAGTAAAAAAATAAAAAACAAGAAGCAAGATGCAAAAGATACATTATAAAAGAGCTTGGAATAGAAAAGGAATTTGTTTTACAATTCTAACATTTATCTACATTTATCAATTTTAAGTCATCTGTCAATTTTAAATGTAGTTTATAAAATATTATTCTGATTACCGAAAAGCCAATAATAAATTATACTATAAATTAAATATTAGAAAAATTTTATTATAAATATATTAAAATAAAAGGTAATTATGCGGACGACTTCACCGATTTCAATAATCTTGACATATGTTGTCAAGCTCACTTTCCTGAGTAAACATCAAAAGGTTTTAAGTGTCGCTCACTATTTATTAAAAAGTTATTAACGAAAAAAGTTTTACGAATTATATGTGCAATTTTTAGACATTATGTACATTTTAAGAATCAAGGTAAAATGTACATGCGTGGATACAGTGTGTTCCGCCCCCCCCCCCCTACGGAGGAATTCCATTTTCGAAAGATATAACTTAACTTAAATCTATTCTGATTTAAATCAAATTTTAATTTTAAATCAGAAATAGATTTGGGTTAGGTTATATCTTTCGAAAGTAGAGTCTCCCCGTAGGGGGGAACTTACTGTCTCCAAGCATGTATTTTGCAAGATAAAATAAAGTTCACATGGGTTTGCAACTTTCCATGCGAAGCAAGGTTCATCTGAAACCAAATTTTAGTTTTAAATCAGCAATAGATTTGAGTTAAGTTATATCTTTCGAAGGGGGGGGGGGCGGAACCCACGTCTCTAAGCATGTACTTTGCAACACAAAAACAAAGTTTACTCTACATTTAATGATGACTTTTTGTATTAAACATATATTCCTTCAAATATACTTTCTTAAACATACATGATGTGTACAAAATCATATTATATTTATTAAACTTTTTTCATTAATAACTTTTTAATAAATAGTGAGCGATACTTAAAACATTTTGATACTTACTCAGGAGAGTGAGCTTGACAATATATGTCAAGATCATTAAAATCGGTGAGGTCGTTCGTAAAGTGCATAATTACCAAATAAAAAGATATGTAATATGAATATAATATATTAGGAGTATAACTAAGTTCCCGCCGCTCATAATTAAATGGCTCCAGCTGCAAATGTAGCAAAATTAGGCATTTGTCAAAATTGAGTGCAAAGATTCATTTTTTGTGAAAGAGATATTTTTTGAATCAATTTAAAATTAAATGTGATAAATTCATAAATTATCTTAATATCGCTAGTCAAATAATCAAAGATTTTGGAAATAATGTAATTGACCAAAACTAGCCAAAATTTTATTTATTTATTATGACATTTCGACCATATGGTTGTGGTCCTTTTCAAGTATATAATGGAATATAAAATTGATAATTAGATTTTCAACGGTTTGAATAGACAGTACCACACACATTAAATGTGAACCATTCGAATATATATAGATCAAATAAGTCATAGTTTTATAAAACTTCCCAGTCAGCAAAGTCTGTTCAAACAGATTTTGTGAATTTCTGCTACAAATTTTTGTCGACACAGTATGATTGCAGATTGTATAAAAAATTTGTTATATCAAATAATGATAACAGAATGTCAGCAGAAATGTTACAAAACCTGCTGACATAATTTGATAGCAGAAACTGAACAGGATTTGTTTAAAATTATCATAGCAGATTGATGACAGAAATTGAACAGGATCTGTGTGACGCAATTTGATAACAGATTGTCAGCAGAAATCTAGCAGGATCTGCGCACATAATCTCTGATAGCAGATGGCAAAAAAGGATTTGCATGATTCGATAGTTCCTTCACTTACCACTACATGAGCTGTATTTTCTCGTAATTGAATTTCTGTCAGAAATATATATAAAGTCGCGAATATGAATAAAAGACTAAAAATATAGTAATTATCATTTTAATTTCTATCACTTTAATTTTTGATATCTGATACAAGCAAATGAGAGTCAGAATATTAAACTGATTGGAATCAATATGATAAATGAAAAATTATTCATGTACTGCCTATTTGAGGCATAAAGCAAGAATTTAATTCTAAATAAATTACATCTCAAGTTTTACAAGTTACATTTACTTTTATCATTTACTTTATTATTAATTTAATTAAATTAAATTAGTCCTTCGCTATATGAGATATAACATATTACATACATATATGTCATTTTCTAAGAAAATTCTAATTAACTTGCCAACAATATTGTTATTTAGCACCTGTAATAATCAATTTTGTTGCATTTATATAACATTAATAAAAGTAAGCGCAAATCTTGTGAAGTTTCTGCTGTCAATTTGCCATTGGATTGCAGATGGTGCGCAGATTCTGCTCGATTTCTGCTGTCAATCTGCTGTCGGTTTATGCTGACAGATTCTGCTAGCAGAACCCAAGCTTAATGCGGACGCCAATCTGCCGCAATATTCTGTTTGAATCTGCTCGCATGCTGCTGGCAGACAGCTTTTGCTTACTTGGTTCAAAAGTTATAGTTGCAAGATCGTTACTTTGAAAACGAGAGATAAAACGATGTGTCAATGTGAGACTTCGTCAAAGAACTGAATATGTTAAATCAAAAATAACGATTTACACGACCTTTATTATTTTGTCGTAGACATTATTTAAACTATCCGTGTCCTTCTGTAGGTTGATTAAATTATTGAATTTCTTAATATAAAACATTTCAGCAATTTCTCTCTTTCGTATATATTTTTTATTGTGTGATATATTAGGTTTGGACCAGTCAAATTCATGCCCAGATTCCAATCTATGTTTACTTATGACGGAATGATTCGTTTCATGCAATTTTATATTACTAAAATGCTCTTTCACTCGTTTTGGAAAGCTCTCGACATAAGCTATAAGAATATGCAATAAAAAATAGGTGGTTCCATTTAAGAAATTAAAGGTGTCGTTGACCTGACCTTAACGATGCCATCCAAGGTCAAACTAATGACATCTTATGTTCCCCTCAAAACCATACAATTTTTGTCGAAAACGTTTTTCTCTAAAATGCTTAGTTTTTGAAAGAAAAGGGGTGTACGAGTGGTCTAGGACACCCTGTATATATAGTAGTCTTAACATCACGGAGCGCCGCTAGCGCAATCTTACGTCGAATGCGTCAAACGTACAACTTTGTACGCTTGCGCATTGGGGACTTGAGCGTTGACCAAGGAGACGTTTCTTAATGAAAATTTTTCATATTTCGACTTTGGATCATAATATTGCTGTTCACGATGCACGTAGAGCAAAAATAAAGACACTTTTCTTATATAAATCAAGCTCAAGCTATCAATTAAGCCTAGTAAGAACTCGATCCGTTCAGCGATTATTTCAATATGATAATCTCGAATATCTCCAACTATCCGACTCGCGTAATTATACACGGAGTGTCTTGTTACTTACGCGGGACTTAACACAAGACACTACCGTGTCTCTTGATAGTATTTTAAAGTACAGCGAGAAAAGTGATTAGTGAAATGAAAGTGTGCTGTTGATCACTGGTAAAAATTTTCTAAAAATTTTCTTTCAGAAATTTATA